AAATTAACAAGGATATCCAGGACCTGAACTCAGACCTGGACCAAGCAAAACTAATAGACATTTACAGAACTCTCCACCCCAAATCCACAGAATATACATTCTTCTCAGCACCACATCACACCTACTCTAAAATTGAACACATAATTGGAAATAAATCACTCCTCAGCAAATGCAAAAGAATGGAAATCATAACAAACAGTCTCTCAGACCACGGTACAATCGAGTTAGAACTCAGAATGCTGAAACTAACTCAGAACCATACAGCTTCATGGAAACTGAACAACTGGCTCTTGAATGTTGACTGGATAAACAATGAAATGAAGGCAGAAATAAAGATGTTCTTCGAAACCAACGAGAACGAAGACACAACATACCAGAATCTCTGGGACACATTTAAAGCAGTGTCTAGAGGAAAATATATAGCAATAAGTGCCCACATGAGAAGCAAGGAGAGATCTAAAATTGAAACCCTAGCATCAAAATTGAGAGAGCTAGAGGAGTAAGATCAAAAAAACTCAAAACCTAGCAGAAGACAAGAAATGACTAAGATCAGAGCAGAACTGAAGGAGATAGAGACACAAAAAACCCTTCAAAAAAATCAATAAATCCAGGAGCTGGTTTTTTGAAAAGATCAACAAAATAGGCAGACCACTAGCCAGATTAATAAAAAAGAAAAGAGAGAATAACCAAATTGATGCAATAAAAAATGATAAAGGTGATATCACCACAGATTCCACAGAAATTCAAACCATCATCAGAGATTATTACAAACAACACTATGCACATAAACTAGTAAACCTGGAAGAAATGGATAAATTCCTGGACACTTGCCTCCTCCCAAGCCTAAACCAGGAAGAAGTTGAAACCCTGAATAGACCAATAACAAGGTCTGAAGTTGAGGCAGCTATTAAGAGCCTACCACTCAAAAAAAGCCCAGGTCCAGATGGGTTCACAGCTGAATTCTACCAGATATACAAAGAGGAGCTGGTACCATTCCTTCTGAAACTATTCCAAATAATCCAAAAAGAGGGAATCCTTCCCAAATCATTTTATGAGACAAACATCATCCTGATACCAAAACCTGGCAGAGACTCAACAAGAAAAGAAAACTTCAGGCCAATATCCATGATGAACATAGATGCAAAAATCTTCAATAAAATACTGGCAAGCCGATTGCAACAGCACATCAAAAAGCTTATCCACCATGATCAAGTAGGTTTCATCCCGGGGATGCAAGGCTGATTCAACATATGCAAGTCTATAAACATAATTCACCACATAAACAGAACCAAAGACAAAAACCACATGATTATCTCAACTGATGCAGAGAAGGCCTTTGACAAAATTCAACAGCGCTTTATGCTAAAAACCCTCAATAAACTAGGTGTTGACGGAACGTATCTCAAAATAATAAAAGCTATTTATGACAAACCAACAGCCAATATCATACTGAATGGGCAAAAACTGGAAGCATTCCCTTTGAAATCTGGCACTAGACAAGGATGCCCGCTCTCACCACTCCTATTCAACATAGTACTGGAAGTTCTAACCAGAGTAATCAGGCAAGAAAAAGAAATAAAGGGTATTCAAATAGGAAAGGAGGAAGTCAAATTGTCTCTATTTGCAGACGACATGATTGTATATCTAGAAGACCCCATCGTCTCAGCCCCAAATCTCCTGAAACTGATAAATAATTTCAGCAAAGTCTCTGGATACAAAATCAACGTGCAAAAATCACAAGCATTCCTATACACCAATAACAGACTTAAAGAGAGCCAAATCAAGAACAAACTGCCATTCACAATTGCTACAAAGAGAATAAAATACCTAGGAATACAACTAACAAGGAACGTAAAGGACCTCTTCAAGGAGAACTACAAGCCACTGCTCAACGAAATAAGAGAGGACACAAACAGATGGAGAAACATTCCATGTTCATGGTTAGGAAGAATCAATATCATGAAAATGGCCATACTGCTCAAAGTAATTTACAGACTCAACACTATTCCCATCAAGCTACCAATGACCTTCTTCACAGAACTGGAAAAAACCACCTTAAACTTCATATGGAACCAAAAGAGAGCCTGCATAGCCAAGTCAATTCTAAGCAAAAAGAACAAAGCAGGAGGCATCACACTACCAGACTTCAAACTATACTACAAGGCTACAGTAATCAAAACAGCATGGTACTGGTACCAAAACAGAGATATAGATCAATGGAACAGAACAGGGGCCTCGGAGGCAACACAACATATCTACAACCATCCGATCTTTGACAAACCCCAAAAAAACAAGCAATGGGGAAAGGATTCCCTGTTTAATAAATGGTGTTGGGAAAACTGGCTAGCCATGTGCAGAAAGCAGAAACTGGACCCCTTCCTGACACCTTACACTAAAATTAACTCCAGATGGATTAAAGACTTAAACATAAGACCTAACACCATAAAAACCCTATAAGAAAATCTAGGCGAAACCATTCAGGGCATAGGCGTAGGCAAGGATTTCATGACCAAAACACCAAAAGCATTGGCAACAAAAGCCAAAATAGACAAATGGGACCTAATCAAACTCCACAGCTTCTGCACGGCAAAAGAAACAGTCATTAGAGTGAATCGGCAACCAACAGAAGGGAAAAAATTTTTGCAGTCTACCCATCTGACAAAGGGCTGATATCCAGAATTTACAAAGAACTAAAACAGATCTACAAGAAAAAAAAAAACAAGCCCATGCAAAAGTGGGCGAAGGATATGAACAGACACTTTACAAAAGAAGACATACATGAGGCCAACAAACATATGAAAAAATGCTCATCATCTCTGGTCATTAGAGAAATGCAAATCAAAACTACATTGAGATACCATCTCACGCCAGTTAGAATGGCGATCATTAAAAAATCTGGAGACAACAGATGCTGGAGAGGATGTGGAGAAATAGGAACACTCTTACTCTGTTGGTGGGAGTATAAATTAGTTCAACCATTGTTGGAAGACAGTGTGGCGATTCCTTAAGGACCTAGAAATAGAAATTCCATTTGACCCAGCAATCCCATTACTGGGTATATATCCAAAGGATTATAAATCGTTCTACTATAAGGACACATGCACACAAATGTTCATTGCAGCACTGTTTACAATAGCAAAGACCTGGAACCAACCCAAATGCCCATCGGTGATAGAAAATGGACAGGGAAAATGTGGTAGATATACACCATGGAATATTATGCAGCCATCAGAAATGATGAGTTCGTATCCTTTGTAGGGACATGGATGAACCTGGAAACCATCATTCTCAGCAAACTGACACAAGAGCGGAAAATCAAACACCGCATGTTCTCACTCATAGGCGGGTGTTGAACAATGAGAACACATGGACACAGGGAGGGGAGCACTACACACTGGGGTCTGTTGGGGGGAAATGGGGGAGGGACGGGGGGGTGGGGAGAGATAGCATGGGGAGAAATGTCAGATATAGGTGAAGGGGAGGAAGGCAGCAAATGACACTGCCATATGTGTACCTATACAACAATCTTGCATGTTCTTCACATGTACCCCAAAACCTAAAATGCAATTAAAAAAAAAAAGAGACAGAGAGAGAGAGAATCAGGCCCATTCACTTACTACTATATGTGAGAGAAGGCCACTGATTTTCACATGATGGCCCTGAGTTACATCCTTGTTATCCCTGTGGCTTCTTGGGAAGAGGGTGAGCCCAGCACGTTCCACTTAGGAGTGACTGTGGAATGCCTTCATGCTCCTTGGACAATCTGGCTACCTGGGTGAACCTTTCCAGTGAGATGACTGCAAAATGGGCTGGAGATCCCAGCAAAAGTACGACTGACCTGGACTCAATCACTCTGAACCTGTGGTCAGCGTCCTGTGTCATCAAGCAGCAGGGCTATGACCCTCAAATGGGTTCCCCTTTCCTGAAGCTCTCAATATCCGGCCTGCAGTTAGTGCCTTTCCCTCCATGTGTACCATGCTTCCTTATGGACTTTTGTTGACTTGAGCTGTTTGGAGACAATGTCTCTAACTGCTTTACACTAGAGAAAGAAATTACTCATGAGGAAAAGAGATCCAAATTGGTCACAGTCACTTTGGGTAATCTATTGAAGACAGGTAGTGAGGATGATGATATGTCTGTGGAAACATTTTCTGAGCACCTACCATGAGCCAGCTTTTTACATGGGGTCCTTTCATATGCTATCTTGTTTCATCTTTATATGATTATGTATTGAACAACTTCCTTTTACAGATGAGAAAACAAAGTCTTAAAGTCAAGTGACTTGTCCAAGATGGTAGGGCTGTCGCCAACACCTTTGTTTCTTCCTTCCACTGAAGTCAGTTTCACTGAACAGTGAAATGCTCAAGTACTTTAGATGGTTTTGCGCGTCTGGCTTGTGCTCCCAAACCACAGTGAGTACAAGTCTTAAGGAATGTGTCAGGGCATGGCTGAGACTTGAAGACCTTGGGGATCTCAATTGTTTCTGTCTGCAGTTTAAAACTTGTCTTAGGAAAAAAACAAACAGACATGCAACCTCTTGGTGCATTACTTTCCCCAGACTGAGAAACGGGAAAAGTTATTCTCTGGTACTCTTCAGAATGTCATAACATATAAGAAAACTGGAAACAAAAGGGTCATGCAACCAGGTGGTCTTAAATCCATGCCATTTTGAAGTTACCATTTTTATTTATTCTGAGACAGGGTCTCACTCTGTTGCCCTGGATGGAGTGCAGTGGCACAATAATAGCTTGCTATAGCCTTGACCTCTTTGGCTCAAATGATCCTCTCACCTCAGTCTCCTGACTAGCTGGGACTGCAGGTTTGCGCCACCATGCCTGGTTCCTTTTTTTTTGTACAGATGGATTCTCACTATTGTGCCCAGGCTGGTTGAAGTTAATATTTTTAATGTAGAGTCACCAACTGCATTAACAAGTGACACACCTAACATGTTCGGTCAGTTCAGGGCAAGGAGAAGCAGAAGATAGGGCCAGCCACCTTACCAGCAGTAGTCCAGCAGATGCGGTGGCAGCACAGGGATGTACACGTGCTGCCAGTACATGGGGTAGAGCATCGCCGCCGACCCGTGGATGCAGGCAGTCAGCTGTAACAGAGCAAAGCAGAGATCGATGAACAAATCCAAGGGAAGAGACACCGCCATTTGATTACAGCAATACAATTCTATAATTTTTCAACATGTTTACATGATAAGCCGAAAAACCTGGAGAAATCATTCTACGTTAACTCAATCACCCTAATTCAAATTTAGTAAGAGTTTTCTTTTCAAAATATCTTTTTTTCTGATTATAAAGTTAATATATGACTTATGGTAGAAAACTGTAAAAGCGTAGAAAGGGATTTAAAAAAAGCCGCCACCATTGGAAGATTTAATATTGTAGATTATTATACACACAAGCACATGTATTTCCTTTTAAAATACAATTAGGATGACTATACAGTATTCTTTTGTGTTTCTTAAAAGTGAGCGTTATTTGATGCCATTCTTCTTTAAATAATCTTAGAAAAAGGTATCTCTTAATGATGCTTTAAAAGCACAAATCCAGAATATTCTTTAAATATTTTTAGAAAAAGATATATTTTAATGATACTCGATGAATTTCCCAGGCCATTATATATTTAACTACTCTTCTACTATTAAGTAATATAATCATATCAGGTCAATAATTGGTATATATGGTTTCTAAATGTAGAATTCAGAGACAAAGGTTATAAGTATTTCAAGGTACTTAATAAATACATATCTTATAAATGTGTTAGGATAATGAACAGATGAAGGATGGAGGCTCTTTACACCCCCACCCCCAACCATACACCACGATTCTGGCCTTCCTGCCCCTCACCAGCACTACTCCTTGTAGTCAAGTTAACAGCCTTAAAATTGCATCTATCTTACTTTTATTTTTATTCTGATCATGACTAAGGATGAACATTTTGTCATGTTTCTTGACTATACTTATATAATAGACAAATGGTCTGTTCATATTCTTAGCCCCCTTTAAAAATTAGTATTAGTAATTTTTACTACTTTATAAGCAATCACTGATGATATGCAAAGAATACCCAGATTTTGTAATGTTTTCGAAGATAATTTATTCTTAATTTTCTTTGAATTTCTGGGCAAAAAGAGGGTCTAAGTAATTACATAGACACATATTTTCTTCCATTATGGTTTCTACCATTTTTTCCTACATAAGTCCTCCAGATTTTTCCTTAGCATTTAACTCTTCAATCCATCTGGAATTACTTCAGGTTTAAGGACTGAGGTGAGAATTTATTTTTTCCACATAGGTAATCAATTGCTCTGGCACCGTTTACTGACTAATCCTTCCTCTCCACAGTCTTTTGACTTGCCACGATTTTATATTACTTTTTTTTCGTAAGAGCTAGAGACATCATACAATCAGTATTTGATACTTAAAAATTTAGGAAGCAAAGATAATACAAAGGGATACAATTGCTACAAAATTCAATACACTGAAAAGAAAGAAAAAATCAACCTTTGGAGATATAGCTATGAAGTGACAAAAGCCAACAACACGTTTCTTTCTGTCTTTTTTTCTTTAATGTTTCCTTGGTTTCAGGGAAGCCTGTTCCCATGAGGACTTTGCTCCTTTTGGAAGCTGTTAACTGGCCTTTCCTGACAGAAGGACATTTACGTGGCGAAAGAGTGACGTGCCAAGGCCCAGTTAAAAGAATCCCAGAGGTTAGTGTAACATGAACCAGCTTTAAATTGGATATTCTGCTGATGTTTCACAGTTGTGAGAGCTGTGTGTTAAAGCCAGGGCTGCTACTCCCTACCCCCGCCTGCCTGGACACTTTCCTCCAGACCCTGTTCTTGAAGCCAGGTACATGCCATGAACCGGATCTGATTCAGCAGGCACCCAAGAAATGTTCCCAGAGACCCCGCCACAGCTCGCAGGTTTAATCCATCCCTTCCCGTTCTATTTCCATAGGTTCCCATATAAAAAAGGCTGTCATTCATATATATATATATATATATATATGTGCATATATATGACTAATCCCTTCAGGGCCTCTTAGAGATGAAAACTCCTTGCTAGTGTTGAGTGGAGAACAAACCAACCCGACCTGATTCCACCCTGAAGTCGGCTAGAGGGTTCCACTCTTTCTGCCCTCCTCAAGCACAGGTTCCGTCACATTACTTCCTACTCAGAAGCCTTTGGGGCATGCCTGGCCCCGGATGGCTCCACCAGCCCACGTCTAGCTTTACAGCAGCCATCTGTAGCCACACTCTGTACTGTCTTCTCCAAGTCTGTCCTTGGAATATATCACTTGCAGGCTTAGATAGGGTCATGTATTCCTATTCCTCCCCTCCCTTTCCACCTGTCGCCCAAACTGGCCAGGATTTGTGCCTCTAGCAAACTCCTTCCTCAGGTCTGTGTGTAAGTACCTCCTCTTCAAAGCCTTCCCTTGCTCCGCATGCATAGGCACCAGAGTATTATTATTAATAATATTATTAGTAATATTAATATTATTACTAATATTAATATTATTACTAACATTACTGTTATTATTATTACTAATTTTTGAGACAGGGTCTCAAAATTAACGGGAACCTATGGAAATAGAGTGAGAAGGGATGGATTAGACCTGTGAGCCTTGGTGGGGTCACCCAGGCTGGAGTGCAATGGCGTGATATCCACTCACCACAACCTCCGCCTCCTGAATTCAAGTAATTTTCCTGCCTCAGCCTCCTGAGTAGCTGGGACTATAGGCGTGCGCCACCACGCCAGCTTTTTTGTAGAGATGGGGCTTCGCCATGTTGGCCAGGCTGGTCCTGAACTCAAGTGACCCACCCACCTCAGCCTTGGAATTATAGGCATAAGCCACCGCGGCCTGCCTGTAGGCACTCATTATTAACTTGACCATAACATCTGCATGTTTGTCTCCTGACTATAAAGTACAGGAGATCCTGTGTCATCTCCATGTTCTCAGTGGCACAGAACACACACACACACACACACACACACACACACACACACACACACACACGTGTGCACTAGTTAATGGGATGTGTCCCGAATAAATAAAAAATAATTTTTACTTAGAATATACTGACAATCCAAAGATAGTTTAGTAGTTTGGCTTTTAATAGCATTATACGAACATTTTCATGAGTCTCACTAAGGTACACGACTCAAAGTCTAAAACAGGCCGGGCGCAGTGGCTCACGCCTGTAATCCCAGCTCTTTGGGAGGCCGAGGTGGGCGAATCACTTGAGGTCAGGAGTTTGGGACTAGCCTGGCCAACATGGTGAAATCTCGTCTCTACTAAAAATACAAAAATATTAGCCAGGCATGGTGGCGCATGCCTGTAGTCCCAGCTACTCCGGAGGCTAAAGCAGGAGAATTGCTTGAACCCGAGAGGCAGAGGTTGCAGTGGGCCAAGATCGCACCACTGTACTCCAGCCTGGGCGATGGAGTGAGACTCCATCTCAAAAAAAAAAAAGTGTAACACAACAACAGCAAGATTAGACACACAAGCATGCCACTTTTGAGAAACCAAGTCATTCACCATTCACCCATTTGGTCAATCACATGCCTACACTATAACTCCACAACACATAAATAAATAAAAGCATTTCAAAATCTATAAGGTCCCGTACAAATGTAAGGTAACATTATCACATGAATTAATTTGTGATTCTCTTTGAAAAAGTCATTTAATAGAATGAATCTGGTTCAGGTAGAACTTGATTATGTGACTCTTTTTAGGTTAACCTGGTTTGGGTCAAAAACCTATTTTAACTGATAAAGTAGCAGAGATCTCATCTTCAGATGATGTTCTTTTCATGTCTTCTTAACCTCAAAGGCAAACCTACCAACCTCAATGCCAAGATTTTAAAATTATTTATCCTTCATAAAAAAAAAAATCAAGCTTTTAAGGTGTTTGATCATTTCATTAGTGGGTTTTCTAAGGGCCAAATCTCTGCAATTGGGATAAAATGCATTACTCATTTGACTAAGAAAACAAACAAACAAAACAGGGAATTGCTTGGCTGTTTTCCAAAATACTAAATGACATAAACTATCTGCATCATTACTTAAGAAAGGTAAGCTGATTACAAGAAAAGTCCTAGTATATATCTATATTCAATAATGCACTCTGTTCTGTAAAGTATTGCTTGACACTTATAACTCTAAATCCTGTTTCTAAAAATAAAAGTCCTAAAGGCCTATGTCCATTCCTTACAGAATACAAACTTTAAAAGTAAATGAAAGTATATAATTTGGAGTGTAGTCAACAAAGGGGTATTGTGAATAGATAATTGAAGTGTAAGCTGAAGAAAATGATTCTATCAAAATCTCACTCAGTGGGAGAATGGAAAGATAGTATGTGTAAAATTTGCCCAGAGTCATTAGTCACAATGAATATTCATCAGAAGCCAATTATCAATCCCATTTAATGACACCCCAAAAGATTTTTCCCTGAAGCAGCTGAATAGTCTAAGACTCCAGACAAAACTAGACAAATTATACAGCCAACAGCCAGTCTAGCCAGGACACAGACTGTAAAGTAAACCACTGGTGGGTTTTTGGATGCACTTTAGCAAATTCTGTCCTCAATTAAAGGTGCACAAGGTCAGTTATATCTCAGAGATTTCTATATGGCTCCATTAGTTTTCTTTGAGACAAAGGGAGAAGGGGAGAAGGGGGTGTGGGTAGGACATGAATGGAGAGTGATCAGTGATGGAGTTGGAAAAATCACAAGGACACCTTTTTTTTTTTCCCAGTCATTTCTCAGAGATAAAGCCCAGATTGTCACAATCTTAGATTCCAATGCCTCTGCTGAATCCTCATAACATCGCTGCAATTTAACATGCAATAAAAATAAGAATGCTCCCTGAAAAGACAAAACTACAACATGCGCCAGGTACCATGGTGGGGTTTAGACCCTTGCAAAGTATTGTTTTAAAGGAAAGTGTGTGTGTGTTGATACACATATACACTCATCACCACATTTCACAGATAAAGAGACGGTTTCGGAGGTGAATTAACTTGCCCAAGGCCACATCGACAGTAAGTGACAGAACTGGGACTTGCATCCAGGTCTGTCAGAATA